TTTGTTTTTTGTTTTTTGTTTTCATAATGTGCTGTTTAAACTGCTTGTTTATAATTCAGCCTCTCAAATATACATGAATTGTTGGAGCAATACGTACCTTGGCTTTGTCTCCTTTAGTTTCCAGACTGACTGCTATTTGGAGGCCTCATTTCAAACAACTGGACTAATGCTATTCCATAAATTGCTACCTTTCTAAAGCTGTGATGTGAACCTGCCTGAACAACTGCCACTTTAGCACCACAATAAAAAATGCCTTTCATATAACAACACTCTTCCTTTCAGGGGGAATAATGAAACAAAGTAAAATAAAAAGGAATGATCATCTGTTTGCAGCTAGCAGATCTGGTGGTACACAGAGCTGAAAGAGTTGCTCTTCAGGTATGTTTTCTGCCCCATAAACTCAGAAGTGGTGCACACAGAGCATACACCTCCTGCTGCACCAATCACCCTGAGCACACCTTGTATTCACAAGTAACCACAATACCAAAGCCCACCTGAATTTTGCACGGGGTTTCGTGAATACAGAAACTTCTCAGGTTCACAGAGATGCTTCTTCTTTTCTCTCCTATCTTCTCACTGAAGACAGAAGACACTGGGGAAAATCCTCAATATGTTTGCAGATGGTATCAAGTTGGGAGGACGTGTCAATCAGCTTGAGGGTAGGTAGACCCTGCAGAGGGATCTAGATAGGCTAGATAGCTGGGCTGAGGCCAGTTTCAACAAGATCAAGTGCCAGATCCTGCACTTTGGTCACAACAACGCCAGGCAACACTACAGACTTGGAGCTGCCGGTGCTGGTCAGTAACTATGAGCTAGCAGTGTGCCCAGGTGGCCAACAAGGCCAGCAGCATCCTGGCTCATATCAGAAATAATACAGTCAGCAAGACCAGGGAGGTAATTGTCCCTCTATACTCAGTACTGGTGTGGCCGCACTTCAAGTACTATTTTCATTTTGGGGTTTGTTTCCTGACTAACAGTCAGCAATCTCCAGCACGAATGTCATTCTCTCAAGCCTGGTCTAATGGAGATGGCCATCACACTAGTTTGACTTGAGTCATTCTCTGCCAACCCTTTCAGCTGCTGAAGCCTTTGGTTTAACACCAACTGGTTCCTAGCTGAATTAAGCTAAATTAGCACTGGCTTTTTAAAAAGAAGCGTGCCTAGTGCAAAGTTCCCAGATAAACACGACACAGCAGAAGGGAAAGTATCTTGAAGGGAGATGTAGAATTCAGTTCTCACAGAGATGCAGTTGGTCCTTGCTAGTGGGAGAGCAGAATGGGGAAACCTGGACATGTGCTTCTTATGCCAGATCCATTCTTGAATAAACAGAAGGGCTTCAGTTTCCAGCTTTCTATGTTACACGAAGAGTTTCAAATTTACATTTGAAAAAGTGGCCTTGAAATAAGATTGTCATGTTTCTCTCTTTTAGCTCAGGATACACATTGAAAACACCCAACATTTCTTCCGTATCTGATAGCAAACCATTTGGATTATAATATTTTGCAATTTTACTTTGTGACACTAATGAAGTAGTCAGGAAGCGTCCTACTGTCAGGTACCATCCATCACTTGATATACGTATGAATCTGAATGCACAGAGGCTTAAGTCCAATGAGAAATCCTTCAGATAAAGAATGAGGCTATTTACCTCCCACTTTGTCATGAAGGCTCAGATCAGAAAGCTCTGAGACTTCACCTTTCTTTTTATATAGCACTATCTTGACCCTCCAGCCCAGTCTGATTCATGTGACGTGTAGATAGACCTGGGAGAAGCACAGGTGTCTAATACAGTCCTGAGGGCTGAAGGTCCTCTCAGCCTTTGTACCAGAGCTTCACCTGTGAACATGTAAGAGCCATAAACTTGCTTCTCTCTGCCTCACCTTCCTGAGACCTCCACTGCCTTCTGCCTTGCTGTATCCAGAACTAATTGCTGCTTGGAAGCACTTGTAAATGTAAGCTGATACACTTCAAATGCAAAGTTCAAGCTGTTCCCCTAGAATCAGTGGTATTGTATAGTGGTTACTGGTTACTCAACCCACCTCAGGGTTTAACTGCACAGAATTAACATTTTAGAAAAAGCAAAGATTCAATTCTTTATTCAGAGGTAATTAGAGGATAACTTTTAATCACAGAATCATAGAATCATGGAATCATAGAATGGCCTGGGTTGAAAAGGACCACAATGTTCATCTAGTTTCAATCACTGCAGGGTCTCCAACCACCACACCAGGCTGTCCACGGCCACATCCAGCCTGGCCATGAATGCTTCCAGGGATGAGGCATCCACAACTTCCTTGGGCAACCTGTTCCAGTGCATCACCACCCTCCGAGTGAAAAACTTCCTCCTAATATCTAACCTAAACCTCCCCTGTCTCAGTTTAAAACCATTCCCCCTTGTCCTATCACTGTCCAGCCTTGTAAACAGTCATTCCCCCTCCTGTTTATATGCTCCCTTCAAGTACTGGAAGGCCACAATGAGGTCTCCATGGAGCCTTCTCTTCTGCAAGCTAAACAAGCCCAGTTCCCTCAACCTTTCCTCATAGGAGAGGTGCTCCGGCCCTCTGATCTTCTTAGTGGCCCTCCTCTGGACCTGCTCCAAGAGCTCCACATCCTTCCTGCACTGGGGGCCCAGGCCTGGGTGCAGTGGAGCCTCACAAAAGCCGAGCAGAGGGGGACAATCACTTTCCTCTCTCTGCTGGTCACCCCTTTTTTAATGCATCCCAGAACACAGCTGGCCTTCTGGGCTGCAAGCTCACACTGCTGGCTCCTGTCCAGCTTCTTGTCCACCAGGACCTCCCAAGTCCTTCTCCACAGGGCTGCTCTCAAGGAGATCTTCCTCCAGCTTGTATGAATCATCAAGAAGTACTTCAAGTCAAATAATGAGAAAGGCCTAGCTTAGCTCTATGAGATGTAGCCTAGAATCTGTATGGCATCTGGTGCTTCATTTTACTTGTGTAACCATTTGGCTGCTTTTCTTCCAAATGTTAACCTTGAATTTTTAAGTTTCAGAAAATGAAACCCTTATTTGGCTCATTATGAGAGATGTAAGATGGTGTTAACAAATCATTCTGTAAGCCAAGCCAGGCTCATGGACGTTCATTGTGAGAACCCAGCAGACAAGCTGCACCTGCATCCTGCCCTGGAGAAGTATAAGTGCCTGAGCTTTCAGAAGTAACAGGCACTCAGGAAGGTACTTAGCACTGAAACATTAATATCCAGCCAATCTCCATTGCTCTCCTGAGCACCCATACTGCAACGCTACCATTTTAATGACAACACTTCTGAAAACTTCACCTAGCCTAGAACTGTGAAGTGCTTTGAGTAATGCGGCCCAGCTTGCTGGGCACAGCAAGCTGCTGGAGATCCATTGCAGCACTCAGGCTAGTGCAGCCGGGACTGCACTGGGACATCTGCAAGGCAAAACTCACTGCAGATTATCCTGGGATAGCATCTAATGCAGGTTAGCATTAAACAAAAAAGCAAACGTGTAAGTAAACTTACTGGGCTCCCAGCCCCTGCTCAGTTGCAGATGGAAAACACCACATGCAAAGATCTCGCTTGGGCTTTTCTTCTGCGCTTCTGTCCCACCACTCTGACTACCTGCGCTTCAGCTATCACTGCTAAAGTGACCCGCTCGGCCCACTTTCTGTGTAACAGAGAAAACCGACAAGGTATTTCAGCACAGAAACACCTGTCAGCCATCCGAAAGAGCAAATACGTTTTCCAACTCGCGTACCACACCCCGGATCGCTGCTAAGTGGGGCTAAGGAGGGCGCTAACCAAAGCGGAGCCGATCGATGCAGACAGCCTTGGCCAGGCTGACCCCGCCGGCCCCTCCGCCACCCCCGGTTCCCTCCGGCTTCGCACCGCGTCCGACGCCCTCATCCCGGCGAAGTTCCCCCACCGCCACCCGCGCTCCTCCCTTCCGCTGCGGGGCCCGGAGCGGGTCGTCGTACCCCGGTTCCCTTCGCCATGTGAGGGAGCGGGGGCCGCGGAGGAGCCCGCCCCTGGGGGCGGTGGGGCCGGCTGGGCGGCTGTGCGTTGGATTTGGCGGAGGGACGGCGGGCGGGGTGGGTGGGCAGCCCGCAGCCCCGCCGTGGCAGCCCCGAGCCGCCGGCGGGGCTGAGCCCGGCTCCGCGCAGGTAGGGGGGCGCCGGGCCGAGCCCCGCCGGGAAGTTCGGGGCTGCGGGAGGAGCGGGCGCGGTGCCCCGCGGTGCCGCCGCCCCCGCCGGGCCGGGCCGCCGGTGAGGGCCGGGGAGGCGGGCGGTGCGGCGGCTTTTAAATGGCTTTGAGGAGCCGTACCTCGGAGGTGGGGTTGCGCCGGGAGCTGGAGCGTCTCGGCTCGCCGCGGCCGGAGCAGCGTACGTATATGTGTGTGTGTTCGGGGTGTGATGCGCGGTGTGCTGGGGACGGAGCCCGGAGCGCTGTCGGTGCCGCGGGAACTCCTCCGGGCTCCGCCGTGCCTTTAAAACACGGGAAGGAAGAGATGCTGTGTGTCTGTTTGGGGAGTTCGGGAGGGATGTAGTTTGGCTCGGGGCGCTTCGATGCGATGGTATGCATTTAAAAACCAACCAGCACTTCAGGCTGAGTAAGAGGTTCATGAAAAACACCGTGCATGCAGATGAGCGGGACGCAGCCGGCTCCGCGCTGCTCCACGCCGGGCAGCGCTGTCACTCAGCCCCGGCCCCAAGACTGCAGCCGCGGGAGACCCTGATCCCGGGACGGGGGTCGGCGTGCGAGGCTCTGGCGGAGGTCAGCTCCGGAGCGGGGGGAGGAGGAGGAGGAGGAGGAGGAAGAGGAGGAGGAGGGATGGCCGCGGCAGCAGGCTGTGCTCTGCCCGGTGCGTGCGGTTCGCACGGTGCTCGAGGTGTCGTTGCGTCGGGGTGGGGGAGAGGTGCCCGGGCTGAAGTGTTCTAACCGCTCTTTTCCTAGGGGCTGCGGATCCGCCGCGCACTTCCCTCCGATGTGAGCGCAGTGTCCCCTGTGGGATGCAGTAGGTGATGCCCAGCTCTACTGCAATGGCAATTGGAGCTCTCTCCAGCTCTCTCCTGGTAACCTGCTGCCTCATGGTTGCCCTCTGTAGCTCCACCATCCCCCTGCAGAAGCTGGCCAGGGCACAGGACAAGCAGGAGATCAAGGCCAGCCAGGAGAAGAGGGACCACGCGTCGGCGAGGGACAGCCAGGCCGGCGCGGGGAAAGTGGGCGAGATCGGCCGCAGCGGGAGGGAGGAGGGCGGCAGGGACTGGAAGAGCAAAGGCAGCAGGAACTACTCCAACAAGGAGTCGTGGACCAAGCAGAAGCAGGCTTGGAGCAGCCAGGGGACGGGCGGGAAGTCTGCCAGCGTGCCGGTCCAGGAGCAGCGGGACATGGCGGCCGAGGCGCCTCGTCTAGCCGAGGCCTCGTCGCTGCCGGCGGCAGTGGCCAGCGCTACCCCGGAGCCCCTGGAGGAGTACGCCTACCCGGACTACCGCGGGAAGGGCTGTGTGGATGAGAGCGGCTTCGTCTACGCCATCGGGGAGAAGTTCGCGCCAGGCCCCTCAGCCTGCCCCTGCCTGTGCACGGAGGAGGGCCCGCTGTGCATGCAGCCCGAGTGCCCCAGGCTCCACCCTCGGTGCGTGCATGTGGACACCACGCAGTGCTGCCCGCAGTGCAAGGAGAGGAAGAACTACTGCGAGTTTCGGGGGAAGACCTACCAGACCCTCGAGGAGTTCATGGTAAGGGCTGAGCAGAAGGGCTTTTGCAGGGCCTCGGCCGCTTGGAGCCGCACGGGGAGTTTGGAGGCTGCTCTGGGTCTCCCCTCCCCTTTTCATTTCTGCCTTAGCACTGCTTCTGCGGTGCTATGAAATATTCCCCTCAAACATGACCTTTCTTGTGCTGCGATACTGTAATAATTTTAAATGAGGGGGCTGGTCTCTATTAATTCCTTTGGTATTTACAGTAAAAAATGCTACTTGAAAGGATGCTGCTTGGCAGCAAGGTGGATTTGAAGAGGATTTCCAGCACTGCGTTTGTTCTCTTGTTTTACCGTTCCCTGTGACACTTGTGCCGTGCAGGGACCAGGCAGGGGTTGCGGGTTGACTCCCATTCCCGGCAGTCAGGCAGTGATGTTACCTTTTTTTAACTCTGCCTAATCTGAGCGGAAAAGGTTGTGCAATGCTTTCAGAGAACAAGGATGGGCCTGCCTTTTAATGAGAGCAGGGGTTACTGTCTGGTTTAAGGTTACATTGAAACAAAGGACTTGAAAAGCTGTGTTTAGAGAGAGCTTTTCAGAGCAGAGCCTTTTAAACACTGCTGTCCAAGGTCATTATCATTGAAAATGTATGTTGTTTACTGCAGTGCACTGAAAAGTTTTGAAGTTTCCTGGTTGCTTATCTTGCCCTTTTCACATGTTATAGTGGCTGAGCTCTGCAGGCAGGCTGTAAGGACTTGCTTGGGAATGGCTGCAGGTGAGGATCTGGTTCAGCACCTTTGTGGGAATACACGGCTTTGGCTTGAGTGGGCTGAGGGCTCTTTGGAGCCCTGTCAGCTTGAGCCTTTCATAGGTAGAGGAAGATAAATTACATTTGTGAAAGATGTAAATAAGTTTCCCCCTCTGCTCTCTGTGGTGCCTGTGTGCTCTTAGAAGCTTATTTCTATTTATGTCTTCACATTTCACATGCAGAGTATTTGTTGTTTTCAAAGCATGGCAGAAGAAATTGTGCATCCTCTCAAAGATGGCATTCAGCTCTGGGGCAGTGGTTTCCCTTTAAGAGGAAGACCACTGTAGTAGTGGCAGGTTGGTGACACTTCAGAGATAGGTCGTAAGATTCCTTCTTTTTCAGTGAAGTTAATTCTGAACGGCAGACAGAGCAGTGATGCTTTTGCACGTGCTCTGTGCAGGTCTCCATATGGAGGTTTAAAAGGCTTCTCCTCATTGTTAGCCCAACTTCTAACAAGTTGCTTTTCTCTGTATATAGTGGTGTCCTGTTACTGGCTGTAAAGCAAATCTGAAGTACCTTGTTCAGTGTATGCTGGGAGAGTATAGCCTTAGGACTTCCGTTATACTTGAGCATGGATGGCAGCTTTGGTAAAAAGGGAACACAAAGAGTGCCATTTACAAAAATGTTAGTGTAGGCTTTGGCTTCCAAATTCTTTTTAACCCTGTTCAGCCTTTATATAGTTGAACTGATGCCCTCCTGCAATGAAATAGTATGTCCCTTACTGCTTTGTATTTGTCGGCTTTAGAAAGGAGGGAGAATGGGTGCCTGTTCCAGATGTGCAAGGAAAGTTACCAGCACAGCACAGCAGGGGGTTTGCAACTGCTTCGTTTTGACACGTCAGGACATTGCTTTTTTGTCAGGCTCCCACACTGGTTCCAATAATACAGGCACAAAACTGTAAACACAATCATCAGCCCATGCAGCCGCAATTAGCTGCAATGCCTGGCAAAGGAGAGCACAGATGTGGTCAGATTGCTGCTTGGTGGAAACAACTGCAAATGCAAACCATCACACACAAAGGCTTTTTCTACAAGTTTAAAGCTGGCTGTCTTACAGAGCTTTCTTATATGCCACCTCTTGATGAAGGTCAGGGAAGGAATTATAAATGGATAGAAGTCTGATTTTATTCTGTCTTCACCTTTGTTTTCTGTTTATTGCCACTCATCAGACATTATTGAAGGAAGAAAAACGTGACTTAACTTTTAAGGGAAGTTACCTACACAAATTCTTACATGCAGATGTGTATATATATACATGCAGGTTTAGGAGTCTGCTTATATAAAATTTGTATATAATTCAACACAGCAAAACATCTCCTTGAAAAGAGCCGGTACTAACTCAGAAGCTGAGTTTGCCAGGGAAGGAAGATTTGATGCTTTTCTTCTTTGATTGACAGGCAAACCCACAGGCTCTGTGTGCGTATGTGTGTATGTGTACACCTGTGTTTTTCTGCTTTTCAAAAAGGATAGGAATATCAATACAAAATCACAAGGATGAGGTTTCCTGAAGCTGTTTTCATCAGCACTGCTCTGCTCTCCTGGGGGTATCGTGATGCTGTATGGCAGAGGCATCGTTGCAGGATCCGTACAAGTGAAACTGGAGCAAAAGCCTCAGCACTGCTGGTGAAATGCAACTAGGGTAAAATTCAGCACTGGAGCTAGAGATTGCTGAGCACGTACTCCATGAGATGTTTTTCAGTCTTACAGTAACATTTGGAAATGCAGGCTGACATATAAAGTAATAGCCTTACAGGGACCATAAATAATCTTCAGAAGTGCATTATTCAATGGGAAAGATATACATTGTTGGAAGTTGTTGCTTTATGGGTTATGGGTTTTGTTTTGAATGTCTGTGCCACCAAAAAAAAATGTGTGTTTGTTTCTTTTTTGTTTTGTTTTTGTTTTGTTTTGTTTTTGATGGTGGGTGAATACTTTGGAAATCCAGAAGTCAACAAACCCAAACAAATTTTGAAACATCTGTGACACTGTGAAGTGATAGAGAAATAAAAGCAAGGCTGGTACATTGTTGTAGGTGAATGCAACAGTACATTTAATTCTTGTCAACCTAATTCTGTTCATGTTCTCCTAAGTTGTGTGAAAGAAAATAGTTATTCAAATTCCACCAGAATAGCAAATCACTTTGGGATTATGATTTATTTTTTTTTTAAGCTTAGATTTTCTCAAAGAGCAAATGTGGATTGCATGTAATCTATAATATTTTATTTGGCATGTGGGAAGGGAAAAGATAAAGCTCAGCTTACTCTGTATCAGAACTTTAATGAGTGTCAATGAGTTCTCACTTCTTAATTGCAACAGTTTAAGTTGTAAGTTGCTTGATAAACCTACTACTCTCACTAATGTTCAGTTTTCTTCATGCTCTGCTAGTGGGAAGTCTACCTGTTTACGCAATCATGTGTTTGTATTTTTTTCCTGCATCTGCAACTTGATAGCAAAATGTTTACACATCTGCTCATAAACTTCCCTGTAAACAGTTCTAAAGAAGTTTTTATTTTTGCCATCTGTACTCCATTTTCTACAGGTTTTACAGCTGCCTGGTGAATACTTCAGCCTTCTGTGCTTCTTGTTGTCTTTACCCAGTTTTTGCATAGACAGATTCTACTGCTGCTGTGGAGTTAATAACTTCATCTGCAGACCAGAGAGTCATGGCATTGTTAGTCTTCAGAGAGAGACTGCTAGGTCATGTCGTCTCCAGTCCAGCCTGGTTCTGTCAAATGTGCTAAGTGTGAGTTCTGCAAGACTGGTGGTTTCCCAGATGAACAAGTAGGCTGCTCATTGCATTGGCTGTCATTAGTGACTGTGCTGCAGGGAATGTTCTTATGTTACAGGAATAGAGGAGAGGAAATGAAGGACCAAAAATTTCTTTTCATTCTGATTTATTTAACTTCTGTTGTAATACACTATCTTATTGTCTCTCTCTCTAATGATGATTATGTTTCCAAGTATTCAGCTGCCATTAAGATAAGAAATTGTTTTTCTATAGTTCCTGTTACATCATGATAATATATAAAAAGCAGTGCTCTACCATTTAGTCCAAGGATGAATAGATAAAGGTGGACACTAACACTGTTTTAGCAGCTACTGTGGTTCACTTACATGCTTGAAAAGAGGTTTGTGAGCACAAACGTATGCGGAACCTCCTTGATGCCAGTCCCCTTCCTCACCAAAGTGGGCTAAGCTTGTATGTGTGGTCCTACTGACTTTGGTAAACACTCTGAGGTATAAAAATTAGCGTTGTAAAAGTGGGAGGGAAAGCAGCAGTGTCAAACAAAACAGGATTTGTGAGCATTGGAATCTGATCTCTGGTTCTGACACATACCTGGAGTAGGAGAACACCATGTGTGGCTGATGGCTTTGCCACACTTTTCCCATGGCTATGGTCCCATGGGCATGTTCCTATGGAATCTATGTTCCTGGGTAAGTAGAAGATGGAACCTTTGGACTAAGGAGTGGCAGGGAGTCACAAACTGCTGTTTGTACAGTTGACTGAGACAGAGACATCAGAGGAGTGTTTATCCAACCCAGTAAGGGAAAAGTTGAACAAAACTGGGCCTAACAGTTGGCGGTGCTTACTTATAAAGATGGAGAAAGACTTTTTACCAGACCCCATAGTGGCTAAAAAGAAAGGGCAACAGCTTTCAACTACAAAAGAGTGGGTTTAGATTGGGCTTCATGATCTTGGAGGTCTTTTCCAACCTTGATGATTCTATGATTAGATACTGGGAAGAAATTCTTCCAAATGAGGGTAGTGAGGCAATGGCACAGCTGTCCAGAGAAGCTGTGTGTGCTCCATCTCTAAAGTCACCCAAGACCAGGTTCGATGGGGACCTGGGCAGCCTGAGCTGGTGGGTGGCAGCCCTGCCCATGGCAGGGGAGTGGGGCTGGGTGAGCTTTAAGGTCCCTTCCAGCCCAAATTGTTCTGGGATTCTGTATGCATTCTCCTGAAACAATCCATCATTACCAAACAGGAAGAGTGTTCCTGACTGCAGTGTAACATGAGCAATAGTGTACTGATTCATGAACAATGTGGCCCTTAACTGAACGCGCTGTACAAGAGGAAAGGGCATCATTCCAAATTATCATTACTAGACAAAGATTCGATCAGTTTTGTTTGTCGTTTTGCAGTATTATCAATTTTTTACTTACTGGTTTGTTGCTGTAGAAGTTTTAGACTTATGCATGTCTAAAAAAATGTTGAAGCCTATTGAAAGCTATAGATTTGCCTTATTGAGCCATATCCTTGGAACTGAGTTCTAGTAGCACTGGTCAAATAGGATTTCTAAATTTCTTTTTATCATAATTTAGTAAGCATTTCTTTCTGCACCTAAGTCCAGAGGGAAGACTATTTACTAATGACTTGCAGGGGCTCATTTTTGCTTACATTCAAACTTTCACATGAAATTCAAGTGACTGTCTGAAATAGCTGACTCTGAGCACTAGATCAGAAATCTCCTCATCTGCTGACGTTCCAACTCTGCAAGTGAACATGGCAGTCTTTGAACAATTACAAGACGAAGTTTCCATTTGAAAGCCCGCAATAAAAGTCTGCAGCAGTGGGCTGTCAGCCTCCATGTAGCATTTTATAAATGCATGATGCATATTTTTGTCCTGAGTGGAGTGCAAAGCAAAGGGAAATCGGGAAACAAGTAGCTAGCAAAGGAAGTCTGAAATAAATAATAGTAATAAAAGCAGAAAGCAACACAGCAAGAGACCCTATTTAGGCATTCTAAGTAGAGGGGATGGTGTTAAAAAATACACAAGTGCATAAAGAAATGACAGTCCTGGCAGGTGGGAAGAGAAGTAGCAAAGCATGGATGAGCATTTAGTTAGAGATGATGCTGTGCAAGCATCAACGTATTTGAACTCAGGAAGTGAGAAAGATGTGAACAGGACAAGCAAGCCAAGAATGGAGTTCAGGAAAAAAGAAATATGATAGAAATACGCTTCAGAAAGAGGGAGAAGATACCAGAAGATCTGCAAGTTAGAGATCTCGCATGATTCTCCATAACAAAAACTATATTTTTTAGTTTTGAGGTTACTCTGCTCATGTTGGAGAAATGCAGAAGATGGTTGTTCTGCATCAGCTGGAATCTGGAATGGGAAAGACTCCAAGCAAAACCAGCCTCGTCAAAGTGTTGACCTTAAGTAAACCTGGAATGTGAACAGATGATGGATTTAGAGGATCACTGTTACTAACATGCAGCCAGATTTTCATCCTGCGCTTTGAGCACAGATAGCAGTGTGGGGCTTTTTTGAGAATAGTGATGCAATTTAATGTACAATTTCTTTTTCTTTGGTGCCCTTCCTTCCCTCTACCTCCAGCTCTTCTAGGAGTACATGGACATTAGAGATGCCATGTGCAGCACCTTGTGGGAAAGAGAACAACTGGAGTTATACATCTGACAAACATAGACTTTTTAAAGTCCATACCTTTCCTAAAGGGATCCTTGATTCCATTTTGTTAGAAATTAATTTAATTGAAGTAGGTCATTTAAGTAGTTATCTCCTGGAGCTTCTATTCTGCAGAATTCTTCAAAACCAGTTACGTTTCAGTAGGTAAAAAAGGATGACCCTATTTCTTTATTTTTTGGCTTCACCTCTTTCTTTGAGTTGCATTTTCTTTTCAGAAAGTTTCACATATTACAAAAGAGTAGTTAACATCTGGGAAATATCTGAGTTCACAGGACGTTTTTCCCTACTTCACAATGAGAATGATCATTTTCAGTGAAGTTGCATTCAGTGAAATGCAACTTCCTGCCACCAAAAGGTTTCAAACCTGGAAAAAATGCAATGAAGATTTCCATTAAAAGGAGTTTCATGTTTAATTTAGCAAAAATTCTCCTTTATTTTTAATGTAGTATTTTTTTGCTAAATTATTTTTTGAACATCTAATAAAATTAAGCAAAATTTAAACTGAATTAGGAACCTAATATGCAGGAATTTCACTAAAAATGTAGGAATATTTTTACTTTATTTGTGTTAAAATCTAAGAAGTTGTTGTTCCTGAGATCCCTTTAGCAATTCCATTTGGCACAGGTTCACAGCAGAGCTTGCAACTCATTTTGCTGCAGTCCTGTAATTTTGCAGGAGCCCAGCCTTGCCCTCTGCTTTATTCAGACCATAAAAAGCATTTGTTTTAAAGGAAGAGGAATAAGAGATAAAGGAAAGAAGAAGTGAAAGGATTAAAAGATGAGTGGATTTGTGTTTCAGGTTTCTCCATGTGAGAAGTGCCGCTGTGAAGCCAATGGTGAAGTGCTGTGCACTGTGTCAGCTTGTCCCCAGACCGAGTGCGTGGATCCTGTCTATGAGCCTGATCAGTGCTGTCCTATCTGCAAAAATGGTAAGTGGCTGCTGCAGAACTAAAAGGGGGTTTCTCTCAGGGGGATCCAAGTGGCTCAGTTCCCTTTTTGCAGAATAATTTCCATTGCTTCCTCTTTCTCCAAAGAGAGATGGAGAAAGATTGTGTAGGACTGGTGCCTTCCCGGTGTGAAGAGTCCAGTCTCCCACTGACTGAGGTGGACTCAAATATGACCTATCAGTATTTTTGTTACCCAGGAGACTTAACTTAGAGTGTTAATGCCATTTATTAATGTGGTCTCTGGATAGAAACTGTAAATAAACTTATTGTAGATATGGTTTATGTATAGCCACACTAAAATGCGTGCAGGCTCTTCATGTTATTCACCTTTCAGTTTGAGAAGAAAAGTTACTTTTTTTTTCCCCTTCTTATTTCCCCTTTCACAGATTCTTCTCCCTCCCCCCCCTTTTTTTTTTTCCTGAGGCAAATCAAATGTACTTTATTGAGCTCATTTAATTTTATAACTAAATGAATTAAACTCCCAAATTTAATTGAATATTTTTTGTAACTAAATTAGACAGAAAGCCTCTCTACTCCCAGCAAGGGCTTGCATTAGATCAAAGTCTTGGTCTATTTAGAAGAAAAAATTACATGACACACTGGCTCATCACTTATAAAGAAGAAATGATAATATATTAATAGAAATGAATACTGCAAAATCTCACATTAAATTATATTTTAAATGAAAAAAAACATTTGAAAATATTCAGGTAATTTGCAGTCATATATTATTTCTCTAGAATACCTTGGTTCCACTGCATTAGCTAAAACAAACTGATTAAATTTGTGAAAAACCTAGGGAAGGAGACAGTGTGCAGCATGTGCTTTTCAGAAATTCAACCGTAGATGATAAGGGATAGTTAATTGCATTGCAGGAGTTTCATTTGTATGGACATAGAAGTAATTGCTTCCCATCCCTTAATTGGTTGTTACAATCCTGAAGGAATTTGTTCCCATCGGTACAGCTTAAGTGTACTCTGCTTTTGGAGATGAGGACAGGTATTTCATGAGGCACCAAGGACTAAGAGACTGTTGGCAGGGGTAAGGTCTGTTCTCAGTGCCAGGGGCAGAGTTGAAAGCACAGCGTGTTAAGTCTGCATGGTCTTTCCCTCTGACTGTCTCCAGAGGTGCTTGCACTGTTCAGAGCTCCAAGTATTTTTGTGCCAGTACGTGTTCTCTCACACTTGTGGTGGTGGCCATCTCCATTTGCATTTGAATTAAGCTGGTGTGACAATGTGGGGTTTGGCTTAACTGGTTCCAAAGATCCCCTGATGCATTTCCCAGAAAGAAGGCCCTTTTCAAAAACCATGTGTAAACATGGCTTAGTTACCACGACTGCCTACTCTTTAAGCACAAAAGCTGGATTACTTGAGTTCTGCCTGCAAGCAGAGAATGTTCATGCCCTCAGCTTCTGAATCCCCAAATTAATTGCATATTCCTTCTGTATACCCAGAAGCTGGCATCACTGACCCAGTTTCAAACCAAGGTGACCAGAGCTGACTGTTTCCAGTGAGCTGTCCTGTCACTTCTGTGCATGTCAGAGAACCGAGAGTGGTTTTCCTTGTTAGCTTTTAGACAAGAAAATAAAGCCATTAACAATAACAGCAAAAACAAGATGTTTCAAAAGAAGCTTGACTTTTCTGGTTCAACACACAGCTTTGGTATATTATTGTAAAGAAATTCCTGAGGAATCCTTTCAATTTAAGGAGCTGATTTAGAAAATATCAGGCAGTTTGCTTTCAGAGTTTATTGTAAAGCATGGAATGCGTGTAGTTTGCAAGGAACTGAATGTCTTTAATTAGATTGGAGCAAAAACCTACTGAGCAGGAAAACCTAGCTGCCTCATCCGTCATTTTCAAGCCTATTGGAACAAATGCGCTGTGAATGTGAGTCAGGGGAAACAATCACAGCACGGTGCTGCAGGGCTGATTGCAGCAGAGATGACATCAACAACATCATGTTAGTAACCCAAAGGAGCTCAAGAGATGTATATCTTGCTCAGCCACGTAGCCCGTGTGGTGGGAAAGGTGGAACCTGCCTTTCTAGAGAGGCATGGAGAGTGTGCAAGTGAGATGACTGCTTTCATACTCAGCATCCTACTGTAGATAGAACAAGAAGAGGTAGAAGGTGAAGTTTGGGTTCTGTGTATTGAATAAAATTTGTGCACTATAAATGAACAAAATCCTATTCAGATATGCCTCCCATTCCTGGCACTTTATACCATACAATGCTTTCCCAGTCTCCCTGACCTGGTGGTGAACCAACAGGTTTGGAGCTAGACAGTTGCATCCATCACTAATAGGAACTCACAAAAATGCCTGAATATGATTTGTGGAGGAAATTCAGGGGAAGCTAGTCATGATTAGAAATGAGTGAATTCAGTCACCTGGCAGATATGGGACAATGTACGTTCTCTCCTGTAGGAAGGAGAGAGTGACTTCTTTGACTTCTTTAACCCGATTCCACAGAAGTGCCGGCAACTCTTCAATGAAGGAGGGATAGGCTGTTGTGCAGTTTCATGTTTATTTTCAACCAAAGAAATGAATGGAAAACTTGCAGAGCCAAAAACCACCTTACATACAGAATCTCATAATCTTCTGTATCACATTCTGTCTGTCAAGAAAGAGCCCAGATACCTTCAAAGTTGAAGATGTCACTTTCTTCTTTGTGACGGGGACAGTTTGTACTTCAAAGAAGCGTCTGTTCAGAAAAGTAGCTTATGGGAGGGATGAAAGGTACGCTTCACTGATAAAATCTTTGGTTAGGGGGAATTTGCCTCCTTTTATATCTTGAGGCACTATAAGAAGGGAGACGCTTTGTGTTTATCACATCTATATACCCAGTAAGTATGCAAAGTACGGACAGAAGGGAATGGAAGAGAGGCTTTCTTCATGTGGAGGTTGAGCTTCAGGTAACCAACTGCAGCAATAGGAAAAAAAAACCAACACAAACTTAAATTGCATTTCAGAGAGCTGTACTGGGTAACAAGTGCCCTACCCTGTTCTTCTTCCTCCTTTGTGGTGCTGGCAGTGCGATTGCTTCTGTAAAGGCAGACCCTTTTTTACATTAATACCAATATGCTCAGAATCAGGCACAAACGTTTCAACAGCTCATCAGGAGTGAAGAATGAAGATAATAAGCATAGCACTCTCTCTTCATTAGAAAAAGGCTGGGTATTTGTTGCCAGTGATTTATTTGGGTGGTGGGGGAATGGCTAATACCAAAAGTAAATTATCTTCCTAAATTGAATTGCCTTGCTTGTCTGCTCCACTTCTGCTCTCTGTTTGAGCCCTGGTAGCTGTGCACAGCTGAATTGAGCCTGCTGTGTGGGAGCTACGGAAGGGCTAGGCAACACCAAGGGTCCAGGCAGAGCCTGAAAAGGAGTTGCTAAAAAAAAACCCAAAAAACAAAAAACCCACAAACAAACAAACAAAAAACCTCAAACCATTTTGTTCCAAGGTCCACAGCAGTTTTTTGTTTTGTTATATGGTTGAAAGATGACCCCAGACAGAAAGAAGCTTGTCCAGGTGCCTCCTTAGCACTTACCTGTTTGTGCTTGGTGATGTTTCAGAGGCTTAGGTAGGCTTCTGAATGACATGTGGGAAGCTCAGTTTGTGTGAAGCACTCTCAGAGGTACAACATGGCTTTGTCTCAGTTTGGGACCCAGATCTATTTAAAAATGGTGGAAAATGTGTGAGCTGTGGCCTGGAGACCCATCCCACCATAGCAAGGCCAAGGGAACTTTGTCCAGGCAGAGATGGGGACAGTCTATCGTGGCAGTGGGGTGTTTGTTCTTCCTGCAGCCCCAGCCTTATTCAAGCACCATGGAGAATCTGACCTGTAAAATTTAATATCCTTCTACAATATGCTTAAATAAAATATTATATCCCCCTCAACTGTATATGGCTTGGTCTCGGTAGCAAAGAAAGTGTTGTAATGCTGTCCTGGTAGGTGCCAAGGCAGGACTATTGTAAACATCAAGAGTTGAACTGCTGAAACTTAAACAAATAGTACCTTTGATTCTTCTCTCTTTTATCTATTTTTGTTTTAAAGACTCTTTTCAGTGATGTCTTGGCAAGTAATTTATATAAAGCAGAGAAGATGCAGAAGTTTAAAAGTCTGAGAGTGATTCTTAGTCCCCCTTAAGAGAGGTCAGGTGGTCATGCTGATCTTCTGGATGTAATTATAGGATTACAAAGTAACTGTAAAATCTAGTTGCTAAGATTGAAACAATACATCATTTTATTAAAAAAGGAATTTTCATTAAAAAATAACCTATTAAATGAGAAATCCTTACACTCTAATCCCTTTTATGTCCGTGCTGTACGCACCAGTGTTTTGCTCCCTTCTGCTGAGTTCAGCTCAGGCCTTTATGTGGATTGGATAGTTTTTATTTTGTGTTTCTGTGATCTTCAGTCACTTAGCAAAAACTTCTGCAGAAACTTTGTGCTTTAATTGGCTGTGTTTCACAAAATGATTTATAATATGGGACTGTTAACCAGAAAATATTAATGTTTCAGTGGGAAAAACACCATTAAAGTTTCATGAACAGCTGCATGTGATTAAAGTTGCCTAGTGAATATGCAGGTAGGTGAAAAACTGTAGCAGAAAATTTGGCAGCTGTTTATGGAAAATAAAGAAATATCAGACTTGTTCCTTTATGGTTGCTTGGAGTGTTTAGAGTGGCTTCAAATCTAGTAGGTGAAGTCAGTAATTTAGTAATAGTAATTTTTATTGCTTCTGTATCTTCTGTTAATGAAATTGCGAGGAAGATCAGTCTAAGTCATCTTGTTTCAAGAGATTCCTTTAACACTGTCTAATATCTCTCTCTGCTTCTAACTTTTTTCCTCTTTACTTTGGAAGGTTGATGGCTACACAAGCCGCATGTGGTTTCAGTGCAGAAATCCCAGGATTTTGCTGTTGGGTCATTCTTTTTTTCTTTTGGATCAGACCTGTAATGTGCGTGGATTACCACTGCAAAG